TCTTGCTTGGTACTGCAGAAAAAGAAGTGGGATCTATGTGGTTTTTGTCATCAGCACAGCACACCCACAGAGTGTATTTCTCATTACATACTGCATGAAGGCACCTGGAAATTCTGCCTGGTGGATCCCAGGCTTGTGTGCTGTCAGGGGTACTCTTTCCAAAAAAATTGTTGGTGGGTTGGACACCTTGTTGTAATATGTAAAGGAAGGTACAGTATGAGCAGTTTTCATTCCAATGGACAATATACAAATAAGGCTGTAAAGAATGGATGAAACATACAAGCAATGTGGATGTATTAGCACAAACCGTAACCACCAACGCAGGAGTTGGTGGGGAATAAGCTCCAAAAGGGCTTATAGCAGGTATTTGCTTATGAAAGTTGCTAAAGCCATGACCTAAGTCTAGCCCAGTGTGTTCCCCTTCTCCCTGTTTTCACCAGTGGTTTGCCAGAGTGCTCCTGGTTGGTCCTGGGGGTTTTAATACTGGAGCTTGAACTGGGTCAAGTCACTGGCTTGTGCTGGTTTCAGATTGTCTGTTGCTTCCAGTGATGAACGAGTGCTGGAATCCATCTTTAACTGCCTGTTGCTCAGGTCCAATATCAGCTCTGCAGACACACCATGTGGATTAAATGCAAGCTTTTCCTGGATCTTCACTGAAGAGTTTTAATGACTACTTGGCTTATAACATGTTGCTTTTAGAAGCTGTAGGTTAATTTTTCAGTAGGGGTTAATCCCTGTCTCTTGCACGATTGAGATAATTTTTGAGCAACTTTCCTTTAGACTTGAGTGATATACCCACAAAAACCCTTGAAAGGCAAAGCGTGATCACGCTGGGTCCCAAGTGCATGAAATTGGTGGTGGTGACAATTACTTGAAATATTTAAGCAAGTCCAATCTTAGCAACAGTGGCAAGTCAAGGGATATGGGATTCTAAAAGCAAAAGTGTCTCAGTTCTTATTCAGAGTCTTTACAAATATTGATTGAGGTCTAGGGCTTTGGCATTAACCAGCTAATATATATCACATAATTGACACTACCTTTTCCAGACAGGAAATAAATGGTTTGCCAAGTAAGTCAATATGTGAAAATGTTTGTTTGCTTTTTATTTAGCTAAGAAGTGTTACAGTATATTTTTTGAGGGGTCCAAACTGACAGAAACCCTGCATATTCATGTTTGGTTGTGTGGGGGTTGTGTATACACATCTGTAATCCTGAAGCCTTCCAGGTTTGTTAGATGGGGCAGTTCAATGCAAAATACAGTGCTTGATGTGCTGCATGCAAGATTACAGAAGTTAGAAGTTTTGGGTCCTGATGTCATTAGAGTGTAGATGCGCATTAGTGTTATATTCTCTACAGTAGTATTTTTGCTGTTGTACGATGATCCAAGGAATAATGATTCTGTACAGGAGCTGAGTGTCAATGTGGAGCAGCCACAGTTTTCAATGTGCACGTATCTGAGTAAACCTCAGACTCTAAATGTTAGGTTCATTTTTTTTTCTGCAGATATTCTAATGAGAAGCTAACAGAGATGTGTTCATCAGAATGTCACATGTTTGGTTGGAACATGCTATGAGTTCAGGAGTAAAATGGATACAAGGTGGATGGTTGGATGTGCTCATCCCTTTCTTCCTGACTGGATCAGCTGATCCTGGGATCGATAATAGATAAAGCAAGAGTCTGCCTGAACTTCTGTCTGTCATGGCTTTTATCTTCCTGCCTTTGAGCTGCCAGGACTCATGCTCTGTTGAGGTTTCTTCTAGTTCCAGATGAAGCATCTCGGATCTGCTGCTGCGCAGCAAAGTACTTGCTGTTCTAAGAATCCAGAGGTGTGTGCTTCTTTTAGCCCTGAGGGGTAGTTCTCCTGTGCAATCAGTGACTACAGCAGGATTAGTTTAACAGCATGTGTTAATGGGACTGACCCATTGACAGAACAAATTACCCATTTGAACCTCAAATCTGGAAAATGCACCGATGATTTTTAAATGTGATCCATTTAAAGGATAATTGTTAACTATATTCAGTGTCCTTGTTTTCATAAGCTGTCACAGCGTCCTGATAATTTGACATTTCTACAACTTATGTTTTGTGCATTTAACTAGTGTTTTCTGCAGCTGTCTAGAAGGTCCTCATTAGCAAAATTTAGTTTCCTGTTTCTGTCTTTATGACATCTAGAAAATGTAATTGCCTAAAGTGAAAAGAAAAAGCCATTTGTACGGCCTGATCATTATAGGTCATGAAACAAGCACAGCCTAATAAAGCGTTGGCATGAAAAGTGACTTTCACTTTTCTCCCCTTGCTCCTCCATAAGCTCATTTGTAGAACAGCAAATTATAAACAAGAACATTATTTAATCCTTGCCTCTAGCAGTCTGCTTTGTACGTGCGCTGTGCAGCTTTCGTTGAGAGAAAATGAATCCCAAGTCCCATTTTGACAGAGACTAGAAATCTCACATAATCATGCAATCCCTCTGATGCTCTCCCAGCATCAAGCCTTTGTGTCTTGCGGGATTTAGATTTTTCTGTCTTTCTGGAAATGTAGGAAAAGTGTTAAAATGCAGCTCTCAAAGTTCAGGCACTAAGCAGAGTGTATTGATCCTCTCCCATTCATGTACACGTTTGATGTGAAAACGCTGACCTAGAAGCACTGAGAGTTTATTAGTTTTGACACTGTTATTCGTTAGCTGTAATTCAATTAGAAGCATGGTGATGGATGTGTTTGTATGCTGGGGCTGGCAGCTGCTCTAGGTTCAGAAACTTACAATTCTAGTTGGGAAATGGTTTTGTGCAATCTGGGGTAAGATTTGTATTGCTAGGCTAAAAGTGACATCATTCTTGATTTGGGTTTTAATAGATTCCTCTCCGTTTCCAATTATGTTTCTAATTAGAATAATGTCTTGTTTCCCATGACAGTTTAAAAATAATGCCAAGTCTGTAAAAGAGAAGCTATCAAGATGATTGAATAATGTTTTCTTTTTCATTTGTTGGACTGAGACCTTTTTCTATCTTAATTGGATATATAGACCTACAGGCTACAGGAATAATTTCTATATTTACAGAAGATTATGTTGCAGTAGTTGCTAAGCTTTCTTCTGTCAGTGTGTCTTGGGGCTGTTTCCATCACAGCCTCAAGCATACATACTAGCCCTCAGCCAGCTGTTTGTATTCCCATTCTAGTGGGAAGACAGAAGACCTTTCCACCTTTATAAATCCCAGCTTTTCAGGTGTGAGATCTGCTGCTCTCTCTCCTACCCTTTGCTTTCCCTTCCAGGCAAAGCTCCTTCCCTTCACATCTGGGGTAGGGTCTTTTGCAATAGCATTGTTTCTCCAGGACCAAAGATGTTTTCCTGCCACTTGGAACTGAGATTTATGGTTCAGGGGATGTGGGTGAGTAAACTGACTCTGGGAGCTGAGAGTCCTAGTTGAGAACATAGCTGTAGCTTAAGACTGTCAAATGCTGGCTCCAGTGGAAAGAATGTAGAAGAGATCTTGAATGGGTGGTATTCAGTAGTTGCTGGAACTTGCTTTTTGAGGGAAAGACAGATCTAAACATGCTGTGGTTGAGGAAGGGGTTCAGGCAGTCTGGGATGGAAGCTAAATCAAAGCTACCTCCATGGCTGACAGCTCAGAAAGCTCTGGGGTCTTATATGCTGCAGTGAACTTGGCTCTCTATGCATAATTTAGCATGGCTGAGTGCAGCTGCCACAAGAGTCTGCCCATGTTTTTCTGGAGCATGACTTCAGTCAAGCATCTGCCTGAGGTTTGCTACTGCCATGTGTGTAATTACCTTTGGAGGTATGGGAGAAAGGTTGGGAGTGCAAGGATATGAGAAGGAATGGCATTCCCTTTCTGCTAAGTACCTCTGGCAGTGCTGCAGTGATAAAGGAGGTTAGAGCAGTGCTAAAGCTGTGATGCTTGCCAGAAAAATGTGATTACAGACAAATACTTGCAAGGTCAGAGTGGTGATGTGCTTTGTAGTATCAGACATGAGGTTGAGAGTAGAGGGCAAGTCACACATTCTGACTCTCAGCCCCTGCAATGGGTTGACTGTCACAGAAGGTTCAGGACTACAGAGCTATGGCTGTTACTTTTTTTGTATCAGTTCATTTTGTAATAGTGATACTTCCTTTTTTTTCCCTCTTCTTTAAGAGGATAACCAGTGAGCATGAGACACCGATTAACTGTAGTAAGGTCTGTTTGTGTTTCTAGAAAACCCTCTGCTATCAGATGGATCAGGAAATCAATCTAGTTTAAAAATAAATAAATAATTCAATGCAAAGCTTTTTTATGTTCCTCCATCCTCCTTCCCAGACTGAACCACATGTGATGCTTTTGAGGCTGGGGTTCTTCTCTGGCTTGTTTTGCAGAGTAGCTGGCACAGCTGAGGGATGCCAAGGTGCAGAGGTAGGGATGAGTAGGGGTGGCAGGAGTGCTTTAGGGAGGCTTTACAGCCAAATGTTTCCTAGTGTTAGGTGGCGCCTCAGAGTGCAAAAGCAGAATTTGGAGTGCTTTGCTAGGCAGCAAATTAAACAGATAAGAGAAGACATTTTCAAACAGTTTCAGGAGCTTTTTTTTGTCACTAGATGTCCTTGAGGCTTGGCCAGAAGGACTGGGTATCCATTTGATAACAAGTATCACAGTTCATGCAATAAGATTGAAAAATACATACTTCTCTAGATGTAAACTGCATTGGTCTGGATCATGAATCAGCTTCTATCAGAGAAGAATTAAGAAAACTTGTTCATAAGGAGCTTATTCTGTATCTGCTTGTGTCTGAACTTTTACATGTTTCTTTGAAATGGGATATAGGACTAGGTGGGACCTTTGATCTGATTCCTTATCTTCTATAGATACAAAAGCCCCAACTTTCAGCTTGTGAGAGACTGTTAGTGTTCCAGTGCAGTGAAAAAGCCTTTCATGGTTGAGGCAGGCCAGATGTGCCTTGAAGAAAAGTTCAAGTTTCCTTAGCCTTTTTTGTCTGTTCTTGCCTTCAAGGTATATAGCATGGCCCAAACAGAGAAGAAAGGTGGGCTGCTCCGGAAATCTTCAGCCTCCAAGAAGCCATTGAAGGAGAAAGTTGTGTTGATGTATGATGAGATTTTCACGGTAAGGACCTGAGCATATCTTCTTTCTAAAGAGTTGTGTTAAATTTTCTTGGTTTAGTTTGTGCTGAGTGCTTTGTATGGTGGATTCTTTTCCCAAGGTAAGAGTTGCTATAGGTGCATAGAGTGATAGAATGGTTTGGATTGGAAAAGGACCTTAAGATCAACTAGTTCCAAACCCCTTGCCATAAGCAGGGACACCTCACCCTAGACCATGTTGCCCAAGGCTCTGTCCAGCCTGGCTTTGAACACTGCCAGGGATGGAGCATTTACCACTTCTTTGGGCAACCCATTCCAGTGCCTCACCACCCTCACAGTAAAGAACTTCCTTATATCTAACCTGAACTTCCCTTTTTTAAGTTTGAACTCATTACTCCTTGTCCTATATGCTTCAGGCTTTCCTACTGTCGTGCAGAGCTCTTTGTTGTTCTCTTCCTTACTGTCACCTTGTCCCTTTGTCTACCAGGACCATTTGTGATCTGCAGGAAGTTATGGCTTTTCAAGTATTCTCAAAAATATAATCCAGAAAATAAACAGAGACATCCCAATTCAGAGTTGCTTCTGTTTCTGGGAATCTGTGTAGACAGAATACTATATTTGGGAACACTTGGTTATCCAGTGGAATGATGCTGACTCTGAGCTACTCATGATAATGATTTTCTTTACATTTTACCTGAAAGATTTCTTCTTGTTTGTTCTCATGGGTGTTCTTTTTTCTTTCAGACAGAGGACCCCAGTAAATGCAACCCTAGATTTTGGGAGGAGCTGTTTCTCATGAAGGTAACAGGAATTGAGCATCCCCTGATTTGCTGCTGCTGTTCTGCCTATGAAGTGGCAGGCTGTCAGTGCAAGGACTTGCATTTCTAAGGTGTTAGTGGTTGTGTAACATGCATGAACTGATTCTTAACCTGACAGGTCAACTTGGAATATCTAGAAGGCAAGCTGGAGGCTCTGGATGGGGAAGAGTTAATGAAGATAAAAGATAACATCAACTGCTTGTTTCAGCACTGCATCCAGGCACTGGGTGAGGAGCACCCAATCAGAGTGGTCAATGCATTACAGGTACCACACTGAGAGATAGGGAATACTCTCTTCTGCTTCTGATGAGGCAATATATTCGCTACTCATGTCAGACATCTTGTGCTCATTTCTTTGCTTCTGAGGAGAAATGGTATCTACGGAGCAGTAGGTACTTACTGTTTGTGGAGGTTACAAACATTCATAGTCTCTAGTCTTTGAAGAACAATAGCTTGTTTCAGAATTCAAGAGGATGTGGTGATGCAGGATCAAGCGGGTGGCAATGGGAGGACAAAAGGGGCTTGTTCACTTGCAGGCTGCCAGTCTGGGGGCTCACAAGTACTCTGTAGCTTTGTCTGTATTCTACTTTTGCCTGTTCTCCCTCATTTGAGCCCCCTTTTTGAATTTCCATATGGGTCAAAAATGAAATAAAGATCTGGAGAAGTTAGTGTGAAATTCAGACAGGGCGCTTTCCCTGTTGGATAGTTCCTAATTGGAAGCTCTGAAGAGTTGTGATGCAGAATTAATAGCCATTTTCCTGCAGGTTGCTCCTCACCAAAGCTATGTCACCCTGTGTCTTGTGTGGGATACTCCTCTCAGTCTTGATGATTGATGTAATTAGTTCACAGGCTGATTCTTACAGTTTGGTGAATGCATTTGTCTCAGCTTCTCTCAGCTGTAGAAGTACAGGATATGTATTTTAGGTTTGGAGGAAGTCATCTATGGGAGATATGGAACATGCAGTAAGCTGGAGAAAACTGATTTAAAACATTTACACGTCTGACATACAATCTTACATTGTATCATTAATTTGGAAAGATGCTATTAAATATTGTAGTTATAGCTACACAGACAGTCTAGCCCAGTCCTGAATTCCAAAACCTGTATTTGGGCTCTTTGCAAAAGGTAGGCCAGGTCTCAATTGTACAGTCTTGCTGTGTAAGTGTAACTAGGGAATAGATAACACATCCTGAGCTTGAGCTGGGAGAGTGTTCCCTTAATCAGACTCTGTATGTTGAAAGTGATCCTGAAGCCAAAACTTCCTTAAGCAATCTTTTATTGAGAGTGACCATGGTGACCAAAAGTTTGCCAGTGCCAGGTCTAAGGGCAGGTTTTGCTATTGAGTTGTAAGTGTTGCCTTATGTCTCATCCTGTATTTGTTTTTCCATTTTTGCAGACATTGTGTGCATTAATTCGGGGTGTCCATCAGAAGAACAAATCCACTTCTGGGTTTGACATCATCAACATGCTTGTGGGTTTTGATAAGGCAGAGCTGTGTATGAAGGTGAGGCCCTGGCAATGTAGAGAAAGAGTTTGCACAGCAGCCATGTTGCAGGGGCAGTGAATTGTAAACAGGCGTGTCTACCAAGGTACAGCTTTTGAGGGAAATAGTCCAGCCACTTATTAAAAACAGCCATCCTGAAGTTCTTTATGTGCCACATAAAGGCAAAAGGACAGTCGGGGTCCCCATGTTTGTAGTAATTTAACAGAGCACTTTTTCTTTAGTTCCAGGTGTGCAGTCACTGCTGTTAAGAAATCTTAAGGCCAGAAAAGGCTGTCACAGGCTATTAGTACCTAGTATTAAACCTCATACCTTGTGCTTAATTTTTAGCTGATAGTGATATCCTGTGTTCCATTTCACATTTCCATCAGCACATGTACCATTTTAAACTTACTTGATCCTCCTTTCTGTAAAGATGTTGAGGGTTTGGGAAATGACAAAGCAATAGCTGATAAAGCTGAAATCCTGTTGTATATTTCACCTTGGCAAAAAGTAGTAATTTTTCATATCTCTACAAATAGTAGTACATTTAGGGAAATACTAAGTAGTAACTTGCCTGTCAGAACTACATTTTTCCTGTAAGAATAACTGTATTACCTGTGACTTAGTATTTAGAAACCAATTATTTTTTAGTATTTGTAAAACAGCTATATGATATCTAGTTTTAATCATAACTAATATGTGTGCTATTAAATTGGAGATGTGCTGCTTACAAAAAATCTCATGTTGCCTGTAAGTAAAATGGAATATTGAAAAAAGAAAGCACTGCTATTACTGTCTTGCAAACAAAAAGGAGGATGACAGCTGTAGAACTCAGAATTACTTTGTGTATACAATTGTTACATGTGTACAAAAATCTCTCATGCATCTAGAGAAAACTCTTGGAAAATGATCATGATGTTATGACTGTAATCATTAAAATGTAGTTAACACAAAAGAGTTCTGAGAACCAGCAGTGTGAATATGGCCTGTGTAACAGGAGGAATGGCTTAATTATCGATTCTGGAATAACATGGCTGTATATTGATGCTCTTGTATTTGAATCTCCCCAAAAGCTTTTTATAACAAATATTTCAAATAATTTTAAACATTACTTCTAAATAATATGATTCTTCTTCTTTAGAATCTGATGGAGAGCTTGGACTCACTCCTCTGTGCAGAAGGTTCTGAAAGCCTTAAAAGCTTGTGTCTGAAGCTACTTCTCTGCTTGGTGACGGTAAATAAATACCAGCTATATAATAACTTAAAAGCTTATGTAAGCCACATCTTGAGGGATGGAACTGCCTCAAAACTTGAGCAGAATGCTGCAGTGTGAAGCTTAAGAAGGGGAAAGAAATTGTGAATGAAAACATGAGGCAGCCCAGAATATGCATCTAAACATGATGCCAATACAGACTAGCGAATTGTTGTCAACTCGTAAGATAGGTGCCAACTGGGGTGAAAGGGGAGACACAGGAGGAGGTGTTAGTTGGATTCACAGGATTTATTTTTCTGGGGAAAAGGATATTTAAGAAGTCTTAGATAAAGGGGAAAGAGAGCAGAGGAGAGGGGTTGAGGAAAGACAGGAAGTGTGGAGTAGACAAGTGCAGTGAAAATATGAAGAATGAGGAAGGTGGAACAAATGACCACTCATCATCTCTTGGATATGGTCGACTGTGGACTATTTTGGCTGTGATAAGAGATAATTGAGTGTGTGGGAAGACTTCACTGCACTCTGCATGATGGGAAAGTGCTCAGTGGACCATATGCACCCTGTTTTTTCATTCTCTGCCTCCTGTGTAGCAGCCTGCTTCAGCTGCTGATGGCTGTTGTGCAGCTGTGTAAAATAGCAATCTGTAGAGGAAAGGGGGAGCTCTTAGTAAGTGGGTCATGCGTCTTGCCAGAGAGGGGTGGGAGGCAGGACAGATTTCTTTTACTTCATGTCTAGCTCTACTGCGAGTCACACCTTGACTTGCTGACTAAGTGTGAGATTCTGGATAAATGTGTCCATCTGGTAGCAGAACTCTTCTGTTCCTAGTGTGTGCCAGAGGCAGCTACAGCAGCATGGAAGGCTTCGTGTGAGATTTTAAAACTTTTGTTTGTACTCAGGTGACAGATAACATCAGCCAGAACACCATCCTGGAGTATGTCATGATTAACAGCATATTTGAAGCTATTTTACAGGTAAGGCTTCTTCCTTCTACTGCAGGGGCTCTTATTCCATAGTGAGAGCTTTCAGTGATATATTTGCTTTTCAGCTTTTTCAGTGCAGCATAGCTGACTGGCACTATGTGTTGCTTCCATTCATAGCTCAGTCATAGATTTTTTTTTTATAATTTTTTTTTTAATTCTGTCTCTTCTTACTCTAGTCTGCTCTTTTTAGTCACTACCGAGTATTTAAAGTATTTTCACTTGAGGCATTTGTGCATAGATAGATGCTGAACAGATTTCTGGGCTAATTTCACAGGGAAGTCCTGTATCAGAGGAACTTTTATTTCAAAAGCCATTCTGCGTATGTTGAGGGTTTTTCTACTCTTTAATAAATTATACTTCTTAGAAGCAGAACTGGGCTTGGGGGAACCCAGAAAACTTGCGCAGGTAATGTTGGTGATGTGCTGAGATACTGTCCAGTGCTGTGAAGAAATGTATTTGCCCCTTTTACATAGAAAGTCTATGTGAATTATTTCTGTGATAAATAAGCTTCTCTGTATGCAGAACTTCTTGGAAGCAACATTAAGTATCCTCTTTCATTAAGGCATAATTTGCTTTTATATGTACATTTTATGGCCACATATTCAGAGTCACTGCAAGCTTCTTGAGGTAGGCCCGAACAGAACAGTGTGATTATTTATTCCAGATCCTGTCCAGCCCACTTAGTCGCAGGGAACATGGCTATGATGCTGTTGTCCTTCTTGCCTTGCTGGTTAACTACAGAAAATATGAGGTAGGTATTCTTTTGCATAACAGAAACATCACTTTTTTCTTATACACACATCTCTGCATTCTTAAGGCAGTCTACAGTTTAGTTTTTAGCAGTACGCACTGTAATATTTATCAGGGTATCAGAGCTACAGAAGTTTTGCAGTACAGTCACGTTATGCTAACTATATCTGTCTCTATGTGTATAGTCAAATGTATGTGATCTTCATACAGCTCGCTTTGTGAAAGCCTGAAGGAAACTATATAGGGGATTTGCATTTCCTTCAGGAAAGTATTCTGAGGAGGGTCATTTTGGAAGTTACTACTGTGCCAAACTCATGTATTTGCCCTTGTGTGTGTGACTGTGAGGTTGTACACACTCTCCAAAGTAAAATGGGCTGTCAGTCATCTTGGGCTTCAGACTGAACTTGTGATTCAGAACCTGACTGGAAGAGCACAGGTCTCCAGAAGACCCGGAGAAACTGTTACCAAAGAATGAACTAAAACATCACAGCTAGTATTTCCAGGAGTCTGTCTCTGTTTCTTTGTCTGATTCCTCTCTGAGAAACTTTATTCATCTTCCTTTTCCTAAAGTGGTTGTGGTATATTCCCATTTTGTCCCTCTTATTTGTCACCTGGAAAAAGAAACTTATCTAATGTCAAAAAAGCACCTGCTGGCTTTTCTTTGAATGAGGCATGATCCTTTAATGATCAATTTTACTTATTTTTTTTCCCCCCAATAATTAGGAGTATCTTAATATCCTTGGATTGGCAAAAAATGTGAAGGTCATGGAATACTCCTTCCTCAGTACAATTACTAGGAGGGGGCAGGCTCCAAAACCCACCTGATTTTATAATAGATGTTGTTTTATGAATTATGAATAGACCTAGAGAACAGGCAAAGACAGGAGCTACACTCAGTGTCAAAGTAATCCATGTTAATTTCTCACTCCTGTGAATGTTGTCAGAATAATGAGTTACAGATTCTGTTCAGCAATCTCTGCTGTGGTAACATGGAACAGGAGCTTGGAGTTTGGTTTTGGTATATGGCCATGAGGGGAAACTGTTGGGAATGATATGGGTAGAGTTAATGATGAGAGCAGACTGGAAAGACCGGAGGTCTCATTGCAACATTTTGGTCAAAGGTTGGAGAGCTGTGTAGTCCCATCCATGAGCTGTGGATTCCTGTGTGCTATAGTTTATGTCCTTAGTAAGGTAGCTTGCTGAGAGTATGTAAGACCTGTGCTCTGCTCTTTGCAGTAGCTTTCTGCAGAGTATTTAGTTGGGATTGAGTGCTTTGGAGAACATTGTCCTACGTGTCTTCAAACTGGGCACCCAACAGAAATTGTGCTGATGTTTAGAAAGTACAATCTAACCTGAGGCAGATGTGTAGCAAGGGTAATTTCAGCTTGAGCAGTTCATCTGGCAAGGTTGAAAACAACTTGAAGAAAGGTTTTGTATGACAGCTGCCTGACACTGTCCTTTGTAAGCAGCGTTACAAGAAAAGACTGTAGTAATGCAGTCATAATCTTTGTCCTTAAGTAGAGTTGCTACTTTCAGTTGCTATTCTTTGGCCCTTAGAGTCAGTTTGGTGGTTGCCTGGTTGTCAGTGTGTTGTAGCATACTTTCATGCCTCAAATCGTTTGGAGTTCTCTGTTTAGTTAACTGTGCTGCAGCTGATAGGTTCTCTTTTGTTCTGAACTATGCTGGTTGCTAAATTGTGTTTCCAGCTGCTTAAGAAAATCTAATGAGGCTGAAAATTTGTTAGTTGGCTATGAGCTTGTTTCTGTCTTTAGTGTGAATACCAGTGTGTTTTTCATCAGGGAGTGCTTTCATATTTTGGGATATTTTGTAGTATCCTCTCAAATTCCCTGGGGAATATTCTTCCACATTTTCATTACCAGTGTAGCTGAGATCTTGGCTTGCTCATTAACTTCTGTTCTAGGGGTAAAAATGATCTACATGTCATGGAACCTTTAAAGGGATGTCTCTGATCTGAAACCTAGTGATTTTTCAAAAGGTGTTCCAAGTCTATAGTTATTCAAGTCTTCAGCTATATTTTATGGGTTTTTTTAATCCTAGTCCTGATTTCAGGGAAAATATTTTTACCTTGGTACTATGTGAGAAAAAAATGAAGGAGTAACTAAATAATTGACTATATCATGAAAATGGTGAAGCTGAGCATACACAAAAGTCTGCCAAACGGAGAAAATGCTGTGAGGAAGACTGATCGCTTTCTCCATGTTTTAAGGGCTGGCTGCTAGAATAGCAAGGTAAGACATAAAATCAGGTAGTGACTTTTAAATAGTTGGATGCCTTGGTAACATCTGGGTGGAAATGTCTTTGCCTCATGTTCAGTCTGCTAGCTTTTGCCTTTTGCTAGGCAGAGCTGGAAGGAATTAGTCAAAACATGGGATTTTCCCCCTGTGTGCTTGTCTGACAGCATATAGTGTATCTGACAGCCCTTCGTGTATGGTTAGTTATCTCCTTGATACGGTCAACTACAGGTGCTGAAGAGACACTTTTCAACTTTGAAGAGTCAGAAAATAGGTCTTTTTTTATTGGAAAAAAGGTGCTCAAATTGTTTCAAATGAACCTCTTTAACAAAAAGCTCCAATTCCTTGCAAGATGGCTTGCCTGCAGAGGAGGTGGCCTCAGCAGGACTGACAGCAAAGCTGCTGGATCATCCTTAATGAGCCTTCGTAGAAAAGTCTTGACTGGACTCTGGCCTTTGTGTTACAGATGTGAAGATAAGTTAAGCATCTAACTAGGAATTAGCTTGGTTTTTTTTTCTTTATTCTTTTCATACCAAAAAAAGTTGATTCCCATAGGTTTGTGGTGGAGGCAGAGATACCTTTTGGGGCATGGAGGAGATCTCATTCTCTCTGCGAGACCTGTGTGCTTCTTCATATAATACTCACTTTGCATGGCATGTCTCACCTGGGGATTGCTTTAAAATTACCTTGTATAGATTTCCCCGCAGCTTCCACCTTCATTTATATGGGATAATGGTGGGTAGTCTGTGGAGGACATCTTGAGTATTCCCAGGTTCCAGGGCTTTTTGTCTGTACCTCATCACTGACAACAGGACCTTAATGCTATAGTCTTTGTTATCTGCTGGCAGTGATAGGGAAGGACCTCTGTTCTCTGAAGAGCTGAGAATCATGGTTTTGAGTTCTTTCTGGAGGCACATGGAGGCAGAAGCTACTTTTAAGTTTGTGTAACCTCTTCACTGATGCACTTCAAAGTTTTCAAAATGCTTTTCAACCACTTTTCAGGGCTGTCACATGTTTCTGCATGTTGTGGAGTGACAGGTACAATTTAGACTTTTACAACTTTTGCTGTGATTCCCAGTGAGAGGGGAAGTGAACTCTAAATCAGCGGAATTAGGATAGGGAAGCATGGAATATGGGGTGGTCTTAGGAGTGCTTGTACAACTTGTAGGTTGCTGATGTTCGTTGTAGATTTGCAGACTAATGCTCATAGACAATAATTGGAACCGTTTGCCCTTGAGGAGCAAACCACACACCCTGTGGGCAGCACGGGAAATATTCTCATCACACTGTACAGACTTGCACACTGAAAGGCACTAGAAACTGCTTTGTCCCATGTAGAGTAATACAGTGTGTGAATTACAGTGGTTAGTCATCTGCCGGCAGCTTAAGGAGTTAGGGAAGCCTGGAGGAGGCATAGCATGTGTTGGGGGAATGGAATACTTCAGACAGAAATTATTAAGCAAACTTCTACAGATATGGAAATGAAAAGATAGAGAGCAGAGATCTATAGCAAGCTAGGCCAGCTTCATGACCCTTGTCAGCTGTGCACTGATGACATCCTGCTACCAAGAGGCAGGAGACATGGAGCATGCATCTTGGAAAGTCATGGGCAGTGGGAATGTGCAGAGTTGGTCATAGGCTGGAGGTGGGATGGATTGTATGACTAGGTGTTGGGGCAGCCTTGTAGTGCTAGTCACTGTAGGATCTTCCAGTTTGCTTATTCTCCACATCTGGGAATTTGGATAACCCTACAGCCTCCAATCCATTATAGCCCTGCTGCTCATTGTCTGGAAAGGAGTCCATCACTTTTACTGGTTGTGAGTCACAGGCTGGCCACTCTTCTGTGTGTGAGCTGTGGTGTGGAGAGTTTCTCTTTGTTGTATAAGGAGAGCAAAAGAAATTAGCAAAACTATGGTATATTTACAATGATAGATTTTAATCTATTTCTTATTGAAAATTTGTGAAGCCTGTGAGTGCTTTACTGGTACTGACTAAATTTAATTTCTGAAAGGGAGCATGGCTGTACAGAGAGGGTGAGGTGTCCCTGCACATGGCAGGGGGGTTGGAACTAGATGATGTTGAGATCCTTTCCAACCCAAACCATTCTATGATTCTATGACCATATATTGTTCCTCAGTAGGAGCCTCTACTCCAGCCTCAAGGAAATGTCTTTGCATGTTTTGTGCGCAGATGGGTTCTGTGTGAGTTTTCTGTCTTATTCTCAGGCAGCAGACAGGGCTGCGTGCTGCTGGAGGCAGACTGACAGACTGCCTGAGCTTTGATTTGTTCTGACCCGTTTCTTTTCTGAACCAAAAAGAAAGCCAGATCCTTCCAAAGCACCAAATAATTGAGAGCATGGTGTTTCCTGATGAGCCTTATTTGTAACTTGCTGTCAAGCCCTGGACAAATCAATCAGATAACTATGTAACTTGTAGGGCATCTGATACACACTTTGTGTTTTACTCTTCAGATCAGCTTTGGACTTACTGCATAGATAGAGACTTTTCTCTGTCCTGGTTCCAAAGTGACTTTGTTGGTTTTGCACTGATGCATATAAACCAGGAAATACAAGTGTAAATTGCTAATCTAAAATGCTTCCTAAATTATCAGGACTTACCTTTATAGATGGAGCCTGTGTGCTTCGTTCGGTTAAGTTCAAGGAATTCATATTCTCCAGAGACCTGTAGCTCTCATTTGTGTAAACTGTTGAAGTGTTGAGCTCTAACTCCAGCAGTAGATGAGTCTACAGCATTGTCATGCCTTCCTAGGTCCTCCTGCCTTTAAGTAATCTTTGCAAGGTGTTGCAGAGAGAGATACCAGAACGCTAATGTTCAGTCCCAGCTTCACTGCTTGTTCCTGCAGCCTAACAGTGTGCGTGTCATAGATAACAGGCTTGCAGGACAGCTGCTCCACTTTCAAGCTGACAGATGAGCTAGTGGAGGAGCAGAAACTCCTTCTCTTCTCAATAAAATCGGGAGGCTGCCTGACTGGGCCAATAAAGAGGTGTCCCAGGCACAGCAGCCTTACTGTGTACTGTGACTCCTGTTTCTTTATGCGTATTCTGCTTTGTGGGACAGGAGAGAGAGTCTTCCCAGGTGGTTGGGTAAACTTGGATAGATAACAGTGGGTTTTTTTCCTGAAGGCTGAACTTAAAGCCAGTTTTCTTTTTTCCTTCTCCCCCACGCTGAGCAGTCAGTGAATCCCTACATTGTGAAGCTCTCCATCGTAGATGATGAGGCCACCCTCAATGTGAGTATTTGACTTGATTGCTCTGTGCTGCTGGTGTTAGTGTAATGAATGCAATCATAGCGTCTGGTAGAAAGAAGGTCTAGAAATAGTGCTACTGTAAAGAACAGCAGTGGGATTCTGCCCTAACTGCACTGTTGCAATAGGTTAGGCATCTCATGGTTTGAATAGTTTGATCATCAGTTAAATGGTGGAGGTGGTTAAAAAGCTAGGTAGCAAAGAATATGCTGAAGTTGATCTATTATGTATTTATGAGCTATCTATACACTGTTTGCTGTCATGTGCCAGAGAGGCACAAGATAGCTTATGCCAAAGGAGATCTCATTTCCAGTGCTGTATCGCACAAGTCCACAGGTCAGTTCTTGTAACTCAGTGGAACCTGGTCCTTGAGGCAAGAGTCCTTCAACATATTTTGGGTAGCCACTAAGTTTTGTATCCAGACCTGGATAGAAAGTGGCAGCACGCTGTGAGGTCTGGACTTAGAAACTGTTCTTCAGGCACAAAGTGAAAAAGCAAGCTCCATGCTAACCAAAGCATGAGAACAATTTTTCTGAGTTAATGAGCTTGACAGAGAAAGGGTGATCAGGAGCTGTGGAGTGGTAGAGTCTGTTTGGAAGAAGTTAAATGGTTACTAGTGTTATGGCCTTTCTTTTGGACTTTTGAATGTCTTTCCTCTGACACCAGCTTCCTTCTGAAGTTCTTGCTGTTTTATTGAGGCTTCTTGAGTGAGTAAGCCCTGTCTGGGGGTCCAAGAAGAATAAATGTTCTCTGTTGAACTTAGTAATTAGATATTCAACTTTAAATTTTGGGGTCTTGTTTATTCGATGATACTTTTCTGTATCATAGCATGTCTTAATAGTTGAAACAGCTTCAGGGGAAATTCTTCATAGCATGGTAGGTTATCGTGGTGGGGACACTGTTACATGTGTTCGGTATGTGATTTCCTGTATTGAGATTTGTAATGTAAAGATTTGTTTATCACATTTTTTTATTTTTTTCCGCCCCTCAGGGAATGGGACTTGTAATTGCCCAGGCTTTATCAGAGTATAACAGGTAAAACCTTACTGTCTCTGTTTTTTCAGTGCATGGTACTTGCTGTACATTTCTGCAGACTCTTTTTTGGTGACAGCACCTGATGCACCTGGAGAGGCAGGGATTAGTCTTATGCTTTGATTATTTCAGCTCAGTTGTTGCTGTCATTGCAAGTGTAAATGCATCTCTACCAGCTGGACTGATGTGCTTCAGGAGAGACCTTGCTGTAGGGGAAGATAACTATTGTATGCTTTTACTATCATGGATTTTACCTTGGTATGAACCTTGTGCAAAATCTTAGTCCCAAGTGAAAAAGTAAATGATTTGCTGAGTACTTGTCTGTTAGAAAATTGACTTAACTGAAACACAATCTAAACCAATCAAATATATCCAGGGCTATCCATGTGCCAGATCAAAGATGATTAGGGGATGTATGCTCTTGCAAATGGTGCAAAGCATTAACTGCTTCTGAAGAAAGAGCAGAAAGTCAGCAGTTGTGGTAGCATGTTCCCAGCCTGTTACATAAGCAACAGCACAAAATGTATAAGCTTGCCTAGGAAGCAAGTGCTTCAGAAAAATTTGGAAACTTAAAGCAATTTCACCTGAGCAACCCAAGGCTGCTAATTTTTTTTGTGCAGTAGGATTCTCAAAGTATCCAGAAAAATGTTTTAATTCCTTAGAAGATCTGCTATTATGTGGGTGACTTGCAAGATCAGCAAATCCATGTAAATGTATTTAACAGGGTAAATTACTAGAGTAAAGCAGGAAAAGCCTCACCCGCCCAACTTGCTTCATTCTGACAAGCTGTCTCAGACTATGGCCTGTTTTGCCTAGCTCTTTCTTTCCCTCTTCCCAAAATATTCAGAGTAGTTTTCTTTGCATGTTGCATTGTGTGTGACCAGATTCCTGTGTGAAAGACACAATAAATGGCCATGTGAGCTTTGCTGGTCCATTTGAATGCCAAATGAATCAACTTTGCTTAAAGCTGAGGTACCCAACCTATTTGTTGACTTCACTTACTCAAGTTCCAGACTCTTGCTTACTCCAGGAATGTGGGATCAGCAGGATCATGCCATGAACCATAATGGTCCTCATGTTTTCTGCTAGCCATAGGGTGGTCAACTGTTTTAGACTGTAGTGGAAGATGATTGAACTGAAACTGTTCTGTGGTTACTGATTGTGTGTGTTCATGTGGTTCATTACTGTTGCCAGTACAGGACAAAATTTCCTAAGTCACTTGGTCATTTTTCTTCAGTGTTAGCCTCCGTTGGATGTATCCTCTCTAAGAGCACAGGCATTGTTCAGTCTCATGTGTTTCAGCAACCCCACTTCAATTCTGTGCATTTTGCAAATATATTAATACCCTTTGCATCTCTTTTTGTGACTTCTTGGAAAGGGCTTGTGAATATTGAAATTTTCTTGTCCTGTATCCTTATCAGATAAGACTGTATTGCAGGGCTTTAGATAAAATCACCCTAGTTTAATTTCTAACCCTGAAGCTTCATTCGTAATCTTTTTTGTTCAGGCAATACAAAGATAAGGAAGAGGAACACCAAAGTGGTTTCTTCTCAGCCCTAACTAATATGGTAAGCAAGGAAGTAGTGTTTTTCTATTCTTAAAATAGGTGCCTTCATAGAAGTTCATCAGGAGGGTGTTTCCAAAACTGAGTTTGGGGGGTGGGTTCTGGAGGAGGAGGAGATGCAGTGATCCAGTCCAAATCAAATACAGCTGAAATGTGTTCTGAGAAGTGTGGTGTTGTCTGGCTGGGAGAGCTCTTTCAAAGAATGAGATCTCTATTCTGGCATTGATAATTGAAATTGTTTTCGTTCATCTTCTTCATTCTAGTTGACTTCATTAAAAAACCCCACAAACAGGTGTTGGACACTTTTAAGCAGCTACTTATTTTTAAAAGCAAGCTGCTGCTTTGCTGATGTACTCTAAACCAGAGAAGCTGAATATTTTTGTGGCAAATTCTGGTCTGTCACTAGCTTTGGATATCTGTTTCTTTACTGTCTTGTTTCTCAAGCCTGGGTACACTGTACTAGTGAAGGAAGTTTGGATTCTGCAATGGGCAGCATCTGTGTTTTTGGAGAGGTACCCTCCAAAGGCAGTTGTGAATTTCTTCCTTGTTAAGAGTATCCACTGTTCTCCTTGTTCAGTTTGGCTTTGCTGTAGTCTGAGATCTACCTGGCAGGAAAATTTCCTGTTGACAGTTGTCTGTCAGGAGTGACATTGGTAAAACCATTACCACTTTGGGGAAAGCAGATAGGAGATAATCTATTTTGTCCTCGTGCAGAATCACAGACTAATTTGGGTTGGGATTCAAAATACAGTTGTTCTCTCTGCCCTGTCTCCCCTCCCCCCCCAAAAGTGATTTGGGAAGTGAAGCATTGGTCTGTGATGATAATGTGAAATAAAATGTTCATCCTGTTTCCCATTTGTATTTCACTAGTATTAGAAAGTAAGTTGCATGTGTGCCTTGGATGACAACACCTCTCACAGGGCTCTTCTGATCTAGTTAAATCCATGTCTTCTCTCTTGTCTAATAGCTTACACAAATTCCTTCTATGCAATACTCTTTCTTTCCATAGGTGGGCAGCATGTTCATAGCAGATGCTGATGAGAAGATCTCAGTCCAGTAAGTGCACAGATGTCAGTTACGCAGTCAGTGAATGGCAACTCACTACATGGGTCAACATCGTCCACTTCCTCATGGAACTGTTCTAATATAGCAAAGCAAACTAGAGGGACAATTTCTCTTGTAACTAAGATGGTACCACACCCCTGCAAACAGTGGATTCTTACTGAAGTGAGAAGGGTGCAGCAGGAGGAGCCACAGCTGAATTGTTTGTAATGAAGTGTATTAAAAAAAAAACCAACAACCCACAAACCTGTGGATTTTTTGAGGTGTTTTTAACATATAATAGGCATGTTGGAGTCAGCAGATGGGGAGTGGTGGTTTGTGCACTCTTGTACCCAACAAAATGTTTTCTAAATCGGGGGGGAAGCGATAAATACGAGGGTTTGTGGTATCTGTATGACCCTCTGCCCTTAAAATAAAGGGCTTTAAAGGGAAAACACTGAGCAACAAGGGATGCCTTCAGCAAAAGGAAAAACTGTAGTTGAGCTCTAAAAATAGCTATTTTTATGGATTGCTAAGTACTGCTAATAATCAGAACAACTGGATTGCAGAGGCAGAGTTTTAAATAGTTGAAAAAATAGTTTCTGCTTTCAGATGGGTCATGCTTCTGAAAAACTTTGCTCTTGGGATTCTTACCTGGCATTAGCCCTTAACTAACTGTGCTTTTGTCTGTATCCTTTCCACAGAACAAATGAAGCAATCCTTCTGGCCCTCTATGAAGCCGTTCACTTAAACCGGAATTTCATCACAGTTCTGGCACAAGTGAGTTTCAGTGGGATGTTTGCCCATTTCTTTGTAAGTGCATGTCTTTGAAATTAGAGTCTCAGAAATGGAATTGGTGAAAACATAAGTTTTCTTGCCCCCTCCCTGCCCCTGCATACTTGTCATAGGTGTAGATGAGCACAAAAAATCAGAAGCAGGCCAGCACCCGGGTTTATTACAGTTTTAGGAAATGCCTTCCTCCCTTGCCAGAAAATGAGTAAAGTTTGGAGGGCAAAGCTCACGTTGGAATGAGCCATTTTTCCCACTGAAGGATAGCCCGATTTGTTTAGGAAACCCTTCAGGTTTAGGCTTTTAATCTTGGTTTGTAAGTACTGATGGTAATCTGTGAGAAAAATGGCGTCAACAAAACAGTTAACACCTTTTCCCAGTTATTTCAGGTCCTCTGAGTGCAGCCATACATCACAGGCTAGACAACATGGCATGATGGAGGAGACCATTGGGGACTCCTGACAGTAGTGGAGATGGAAGAGGTCTGATAGGCAGACCTACTGCCTCTGAGGAAAGCTTCTGTTCCATGGGTGGTTGATTTGCAGAGGTTCCCTGTCTCTCTTTTCCCAGGTTATTCATTTTCAGCACTTGTGAGAGATTTCTGCTCTTTCAGTTCTATGTAATACGTGATCAAGATATCCCTGAGGGACGAAAGGCCTTTGGCAGGGAAAAGAGTAGGGCAGGGAG